AAATAATATGGGATCCTGGGCTTGGCAAGTCCCACCAAGTCTTTCGTTATTTAATAACTGTCGTAGTCAACCGGAGACTGACGTTTGATAACGAAATTTCCGAACACGAAAACATTTTAAGCGAAATCCCGTGATCGGATCACTTCACTCCCCTTCTGGACAAATGCCTTCAGCACACTGAATTAGGGGACACGGACACGAGCCGTCCACACGCCTGCAGAGCGGCTAAACTAAAGACTAGTAACTCAACGCGAGAGGGCGCAGCATTGCCTACCTCCCAGGGTGAGCGTTCAGCTAGGAGCGGGAGATTTAAACTGCCACAAGATATTGCGATAAGAAATAAACATACGCAGTGCTTTATCGAAAGAAAACGTGCTCGTTTTCCCGTTAAAACAATTAGCTAGTACTTAATGTTTCAATTAATGTTTTAAATACGCAGGCGCTTGTGCATGGCTCCCCAAAAGCAGAATCGAAGAAAAAAGACAACGTAACTGTTCTCATACCCGTAGAACAAGTGAACTACAAAAAAGAAACACAACAAATCCGAACCGAAGCTTGAGCTGAGCTCCTGAAAATCAAATTCTAAACCTTTGATCCCAATCGTAGGTACAGTGAAATTCATTTTTTTTGAACAAATCTTAGTAGAGGTGTCGGGTAGACTTATGCCATCTTAGGTGACTTCATTTTTGCACTGTTCCACCTACTTTTTTCCAACGCACACAACTTAACGTGAGGGGTGAGGGGGTGCAGACAAGGCTGTGCGTAGCAGTAACCTCTTGAATCCTTGAATGGTGTTTGGAGGCTGTCCTCAGGGATGGCAGAAAAGTAGCTAAATGGTTGTGAAGGAAAATTCCAAATCAAAAGGAGCAAAAAAATCAAGAAAGTCTGACGATGATTTTGTGTCTGGAGTAGATGAGAACATTTCTGTCCACAAGCGAAATCTTTATTTCGTTTCCTTTCCTGTTGTTTTGTTTTTCAACATTCTCAGTTCGTTAGTCTATCACCTTTATCTAATTTTTAAGTACCTGTACTGTCAGTTCGCAAGACTGGGATTACTGCAGCGCTTGCGAAGGCGCGCGGCTACTCATGTCCAAGAATTGTCTGATGGTAACACACTCTGTGAAATCCCGCCTCACGTCACCGAAATGTCATCCAAGTTTGGCCCCAAGCACTCAGCTGGTCCTGGACCAGCTGATCCATTGTTGGCCAAACAAAAGGCTCACCATCGGAAAGCCTTTGAGTATATATCGAAAGCACTCAAGATAGATGAAGAAAATGAAGGTTAAAAGAATATGATTAAAATCAAATTACAAATTTCTCTACATTTTGCTTGGTAATTTTTTAGAATGATATGTTCATATTTGTTCTGTCCCCAGGTCAGAAAGATCTTGCTATTGAACTTTACCGCAAAGGAATCCTTGAGCTGGAAAAGGGTATTGCCATCGATTGCTCAGGGGGAAAAGGCGAAGTATGGGAGCGAGCTCAGAGACTTCATGTCAAGATGAAAACCAACCTCAGCATGGCGAAAGACAGGCTGTCATTCCTTGGTAAGCTACCAATAATAATTTATTCAAATTGAGTTGAGAGTCAAGTGTGAAAATGTAGAAGAGTCAACTCTACCGAACCCACTATGCATTAGAACAGTTGTTGTGTCTAACTTAGTCAATGATTAGTTTAATCAGTATTTCCAGAAACCATAAAGAATCTTTGTTGAATTGTAGATTGTAGTTCTGAAATTGGAAGCTTTTAGTATTATTTGTGAAAGTTGTGAAGTGTTAAATATTTTTTTATAGTATTTGTGTTTTTAGAACGTATTTATTTATTTTAATGCAGAAAATGAGACAACTTCTACTGTGGAATGCACTGAAACAGAGGAGAAAGTGGGCATCCTGCCAAATATAGGTAGTGTATTTGCTTGCCACTTAGTGCACTTTTTGTAGTTCTCTCTTCTTTGTGTAATCTTTTGATGCTGACTTTGAACCTAGTATGCTATGCCACCCTTCTACATTAACACAAGGACCCCCCTTACCTTTTAGTTTTCATCTTTTTAACGCCAAACATACAAAAAAATACTTGTGGAGCACACTTGTTCTTTTTCACCAGCCCAATGAAAACTTATGGTAGTGAGTGTAACTGCTTTCATCACAGAAATAGTATTTGTTATCAATTGACATATTCCAATATCAAAAGTGAAAGTCACAACAATTAACAATATTGACCACACCTGCTCTATCAGCCCAAGCAGAATCTTCAAAAGTGTTATCCAAATTATACTTAGATAACTGAACAAGTCTCTCTTATTTACTTAATTCTATTGCAGGGTTTAGACTGGCCACGATTGTCATTTATCGGAAACATTCTAGTGGGTTTCTCATTGGCAGATTTCTAACTAGAACGTATCCAATAAATGACAATCGTGGCTAGTTTAAACCCTCCATGTGTTTTTAACTGAAACACAAAAACAAAATATGATTATGATTGCATGTGTTGTGTATTCTGAGATGAATGAGCATTACAACGTCATGTTGCCCTGAGAACCAAACTTTTTCTCATTTTAGGTCCGTGGTAAACAATGAGTAAAACAAAAACATCAACAAAAAAAGCATTAATTCTTAGTTAAGACCATTTCTTGTTGCCTTGGTGTTGCCTTTGCCTTTTGCTTTTGCTTTTATATGCATACCATTTAATTATCTTAATACTTACACAGAAAATATTTTTATCTTTTCCTTAAACTGTATTATTAGTTTTATTTTAATTGCCTCTTTTTATTAATTTGTTTATCTTTCTAGCTTCTGGACGTAAACTTCAGGTTCCCATGAGAAAAGCAACTGAAGGAGTCAGTGGTGGGGGCCATAACCGAAGCAATACACTCCCTAGAAATATGGGCTCCAGGTCTTGGAGCAACATTAGCAGTGCTCGTGCTGTGAAACCTTCATCCACACCACCTGCTGTCAAACGACAGATGTCTGTTAGTACATTCTTTTTACATCCCTTCAAACACTAAATTTTTGTTGTTTGCTGTTCTTACTGTACCGGTAATTTTCTATTCTTGATTCTTGTCAGGGTCCAAGCAGTTCTCCAGTTCATAGATCCAGCAGCAGCAGTGGTGGAAGCCACAGCAGCCATGCGGGCCACAGTAGGCACGGCAGTGGCCAGGGAAGTGGAGGTAGCAGTAACACTGGAAGTGGGGCTGGTGGTCCTGGTAAACGTCAACCAGCCTTGAAAGGTGTAGAAACGAAACTTGCCAATCTCATCCTAGATGAGATTGTTGAAGGCAGCTGTCCTGTGCAGTGGGATGACATTGCTGGCCAAAAAGTATGATATGTTATCCTCACTGTTGAATATACCTTAGGAATGTGAAGGTCTAATGAGAGTTCATAACACATTTCAGGTTGCTAAACAGGCTTTACAAGAAATGGTTATCCTTCCATCCTTGAGGCCTGAGCTTTTTACTGGATTACGAGCACCAGCTAGGGGTTTACTTCTATTTGGACCACCAGGGAATGGTAAAACACTTCTTGCAAGGGCAGTAGCTACAGAATGCAAGGCTACTTTCTTTTGCATCAGCGCTGCAAGTCTCACTTCCAAGTATGTAGGAGAGGGTGAAAAATTAGTCAGAGCTTTATTTGCTGTAGCCAGAGAGCTTCAGGTAAGTTTCCATTTCCAACAAATTTATCTAGTATTTTCTCAAGCATTTTTAAACTAACAATACTCTTTGTACACTAGCCTTCTATAATATTTATGGATGAGGTAGATTCTCTCCTATCTGAGAGGAGAGAGGGAGAAAATGAAGCTAGCCGCCGCTTAAAAACAGAATTTCTTCTTGAGTTTGATGGCTTAGGTACCAATAGTGAAGAACGATTACTCATTATAGCTGCCACCAATCGCCCACAAGAGCTTGATGAAGCTGCTTTGAGGTGAGATAATTTATTTTTACAGTGCCTATGAGAACCAAGTGTTCTTTTTCCTTTCTGTCCAACTAACTACCAGTTTGTATTTTTCAGGCGGTTTCCCAAAAGAATTTATGTGTCACTCCCAGATGTTTCTACACGGGAAGCTCTGTTAAGACATTTGTTAAGCAAACACAATAATCCTCTATCTGCATCTGAGCTGAAAAAGTTAGCAGACCTCACAGATGGTTATTCAGGATCTGATCTCACAGCTCTTGCAAAAGATGCTGCCTTAGGACCTATAAGAGGTAAGGAAAAGATTTGAATCATCATTTTAATGCATAAGTGTCATGAATTGTCAACAATTATTCTTTTACCAGAACTAAACCCAGATCAAGTTCGGAATTTAGATCCCAAAAAAGTGCGAAGTATCTCTTTTGGTGATTTTCAAGAGTCTTTGCGAAGGATTCGCCATAGTGTTTCCCCTGGTAGTTTGCTTACTTACCAAAAGTGGAATGAAGACCATGGAGACATGACCATCTAAAGGAGATCAGAAAAATTCAACAAACAAGGAAGCTCTTTGTTAAAATTTGAAGAGAAATGCATTTATTAGATGTGCTTTGTATTATTTTCTGCGCTTCTACTGCCACTCTTATTGTGCCAAGATAGTCTGTCTGTTTTGTTGCGTTTTGTAAATGTTACCATGTGTTTGATTAGATGCGTATTTAGATTGTTTTCCATATTTGTTGCAGTTGTGATGTACATTAGCACTATTTATATGTTATGTTTCAGTGATATTAGAAGTATGACCCAATATGTATTTCACTTTATAATGTGATCAATTTCTGAGTGTCTTAGAGTTTGATGCCAGTTAAGCAGCCGGAGAAAAGTCATCTGCACATAGTGCTAACGTTCAGCATGTGCCTTACATCTCTGGGTTGCCCCTTATGATCGTTGAAAGAATGCAGTTTAGTCATATTAATATTTTGGAAAAATCATGGCTTTTAGTGTTGAGCCTATTTATGCATTCCATAACTATTCTATATCTGCGAGATTTGTTTTTGTTTGTTTCGCTCATGTTGGGCTTCTTACTTTATACTTTTTAGGGGTTATTTATTTATTGTTATTGTTTAAAATTATGAAAACCCCAAGGGTATTTTGTTTCTTAAAACAAAATCCAGCATAAGTGATTGTACAACTTTGGACAAAACAAAGTTGTTGTTTTTTTATCAAAAAATGTTTGAAACTGCTGTTTTTAAAAACAAACTCTTTTTATGCAATCTGCTGATTGCATTTTGGGGACCTACACTCTTTTCCTGAGCTTGCTTGGTTTCTTTTTGTTTGTATTGTGCTGTATGAATGGCTGTACTTATTAACATTTATTTGTGTTTGATGCACAAAAGAGGTCAGTGATCAATCATAAGCACAGTAGATTTCAATCAATGGTTAATCAATGTATTTACCTTATTATAAACAAGGTACGTTTCTGAAGTAGTCTCACAAAGTCTTGTTCCTCTGATTTTCACCTAAATTTGATTTGATGTTCATATGGCCCCATATCAACTGAGAGTGTCAAACATGATGGTTCCGGTCTCTAGTTAAACTAATCAATTTACTTGCTAACTGTTGGTCATATACTGTAGTTAATGGTGATGGGCATACCTCTGTATTCTGCGAATTTTGGCTTAAATTATTATAAGTATTTCTGACACAGTATCTGTAAATGTGCTAACCTGAATGACAGTGGTAATAAGTAGGTTTTGTTTGCTTGTGAGATTAATTTCCTGTGGGTAAAGACACCTACTCAACATCAATAACTGTCCATTAATTGTTTTGTGCATTTGGTTTGAACTGAATGGAACAAAAGACTGTCATCTTTATTTAGGAATGGTTTGCGGTATTTTGCATATTTTTTTTTTATTATGAAGTTGATTACTGATAAATTCTTCTTGACATGAATACCTCTGCATCCACTGCATGTTTTTACTCATTCTCTGGACTCAAAAGCTTACACAGAGGTAAACATATTGTTCAAAAGAATAACCCCCTTCTTAAATAGCAGTTGCAACATAAGAGTACCTCAGCTAACAGAGGAGAAGAATAACGTTCAAAACATACTTCTCCTTGCTGCTTGATCAAGCCTGCTACCGGGGTGACCTAACGGCGGCGGGAGCCTGCCGACATTTATGTGTTTCCCGCTCTTCTTGTTATCCTTTTTCTGTGAGTTGAAGTACACTATTGTTGGTCTT